GTTTGTGTTCGCAGCGCTCTCCATATGTAGGTGAACTACATCTCCCGTAAATCATTATCAATTCCTCCCAGCCCCCTCCAGTATTTTCTGTTGGTCATTGGGGCTCTTTGTGCTAAGTTTGTTCCAGGTCTATAATTTGTGGGGGGTCTCAGTGGTCTGTGGAACTCAGGTGAATTGAAGGTACTTCAAATCCCATCATCCATTGTCCATACTGTTTTGTGATCAGTCACTGTGCTTTAACTATGTCCAATTTATAACAATGAAAATACATACTGCATATCAGATATTTCCATTATGCTGCATAAGAGTAGCAAAATTACCGTTATTTATTTATTTATTTATTTATCGTGTCATCAGCAACCATACCATTGTATTACAATTCTAACAGAGCAAAACAAACACACAGATTAAAAAGAAAAAGAAAAAAACACACACAGATTTTGCAAATTTGGTAGTTGGTTAAATGTCCTTTGACCAGTATCTGGCCACTTGGAGTGCCTCTGGTGTTGCCGCAAGGAGGTCCTCCATTGTGCATGTGGCAGGGCTCAGGTTGCATTGCAGCAGGTGGTCAGTGGTTTGCACTTCTCCACACTCGCATGCCGAGGATTCCACCCTGTAGTCTCATTTCTTAAGATTGGCTCTGCATCTCGTGGTGCCAGAGCGCAGTCTGTTCAGCGCCTTTAAGTCGCCCAGTCTTCTGAGTGCCCAGGGGGGAGTCTCTCATCTGGTATCACCCATGGATTGAGGTGCTGGGTTTGGGCCTGCCACTTTTGGACTCTCGCTTGCTGGGGTGTTCCAGCGAGTGTCTCTGTAGATCTAAGAAAACTATGTTTTGATTTAAGTTGTTGACGTGCTGGCTGATACCCAAACAGGGGATGAGCTGGAGATGTCTCTGCCTTGGTCCTTTCACTATTGGCTGCTACTTTCCGGCGGATGTCAGGTGGTGCAATACCGACTAAGCAGTGTAATTTCTCCAGTGGTGTAGGGCGCAGACACCCTGTGATAATGCGGCATGTCTCATTAAGAGCCACATCCACTGTTTTAGCGTGGTGAGATGTGTTCCACACTTGGCATGCGTACTCAGCAGCAGAGTAGCATAGCGCAAGGGCAGATGTCTTCACTGTGTCTGGTTGTGATCCCCAGGTTGTGCCAGTCAGCTTTTGTATGATGTTGTTTCTAGTGCCCACTTTTTTCTTGATGTTCAGGCAGTGCTTCTTGTAGGTCAGAGAACGGTCCAAAGTGACTCCCAGGTATTTGGGTGCGCTGCAATGCTCCAGTGGGATTCCTTCCCAGGTAATCCTCAGAGCTTGGGATGCTTGTCTGTTCTTAAGGTGAAAACCCCATGTCTGTGTTTTAGATGGATTAGGGATCAGCTGGCTTTCCCTGTAATAGGCAGTAAGAGCACCTATAGCTTCGGAGAGCTTCTGTTCAACCACCTCAAAGCTCCCTGCTTGAGCAGTAATGGCAGGATCATCAGCATAGATGAAGCTCTCCGTCCCTTCTGGCAGTGGCTGGTCATTTGTGTAGATGTTGAACATGGATGGAGCAAGCACGCTCCCCTGAGACAGGCCGTTCTTCTGTTTCCGCCATCTGCTTCTCTGGCCCTGGCACTCAACAAAAAAGCTCCTGTTTTGTAGCAGGTTTCATATGAGGTGGGTGAGGTGGTCGTCCTTTGAGATATTATACATTTTTCTCAGGAGGAGGCGGTGGTTCACAGTATCATAGGCTGCTGATTACCGTTATGAAGTAGCAATGAAAATATGGTTGGGGGTCACCACAACATGAGGAACTTTATTTAGGGGTCACGGCATTAGAAAGGTTGAGAACCACTGGTCTAGGATGCAGAAGAAGGGGCTATTACAGGATATGTAGGCTTCTATCCAGATTGTCCCTCTCTGTGGTTGCATCTCGATACTTTAGACCATGCATGGGCAATCCTCGGCCCTCCAGGTGTTTTGGACTTCAACTGGTCATCTGTTGGGAATCTGTAGGGCCGAAGTTTGCCCGTGCCTGCTTTAGATGTGACCATTTTATTTTATTTTTTGGTCGTGTCAGGAGCGACTTGAGGAACTACAAGTCGCTTCTGGTGTGAGAGAATTGGCCGTCTGCAAGGACGTTGCTCAGGGGACGCCTGGATGATTTGATGTTTTTATCATCCTTGTGGGAGGCTTCTCTCATGTCCTCGCATGAGGAGCTGGAGCTGATAGAGGGAGCTCATCCGCCTCTCCTCGTATTCGAACCTGCGACCTGTCGGTCTTCAGTCCTGCCAGCACAGGGCTTTAACCCACTGCGCCACCGGGGGCTCAATAAGGACTAGGGACTTGATTTAATTCAAAACCTATACTTATTTGCTTCTTAATAAGTGGAGAAAAGGGAATGGGCACAGGGCAAAACAAGGCAGAGTTTTTTCTTTCTGAAACTTGGCAGTGAACAGTGGGAGGGATGCAGAGCCATCAGATGGAGGAGAACTACAACTCCCATCACCCCTAGCCAGGGTGGACACTAATGGGTAATGCAAGGAATTGAAATGATGCCGTGCTAAAGAAAAATCAGCAGTAATAATAATAATAATAATAATAATAATGTATTGTCGAAGGCTTTCATGGCCAAAATCACTGGGTTATTGTAGGTTTTTTCGGGCTATATGGCCATGGTCTAGAGGCATTCTCTCCTGACGTTTCGCCTGCATCTATGGGAAGCATCCTCAGACCTCACTACCTCTGAGGATGCTTGCCATAGATGCAGGCGAAACGTCAGGAGAGAATGCCTCTAGACCATGGCCATATAGTCCAAAAAAACCTACAACAACCCAATAATAATAATAATAATAATAATAATAATAATAATAATAATAAACTTTATTTCTACCCATATATTATTTATAATACAGTAATGTATTTTTGTTGTTGTTGTGGTTGTTGTAATTGTTGTTATGTGATACACAACAAGATTACTACACAGCAAACAAGTTCACTATGCTGGTTGTTATATTCGATCACACGACGGACGCTTCCCAAGTGTCTAGGACTATGTGTGTATCGGCAAATAATGCGTGCAGATCCGAGTAGGGTGGCCTTTTGCAGTTGACAAATTGTGATATTGTCTGTGCCGATTGTTTTTAAGTGCAGGCCAAGGTCTTTAGGCATTGCACCCAGTGTGCCGATCACCATTGGGACCAC